TTGACAAAGGGGTGTACTCGCGGCGCATACTACACTTCGGATATTGCACTTGCGCCTTGACTCTCGCTCTCTCCATTTCATCGTGTTTGAGCTTTTCTTGTTTTTCTCTGGCTCTTTCTAATGTCCGCTGCTTGATTTTTTTCTCCTTCTCTTTCTCTCTCTCAGTTCGGTCATCCGCATACGCCTAAGATCGTATTTAGAATCAGACATGTCCATATAACTTGAGATGTTGGATACCATACATGATATTTGCCAACCAATTCCGACGGCTGGACCCGTGTTGATATCCACAATTGATAGCCAATTGGGGTATTCAAAAACAGAAGCGATAGCATCGAGACACAACGACTAAAGGCAGAGTACCACACTGAGTGCACTGTGTAAAACTAATATTGGAACTATCAGCAGATTAGTCGGCTCAAAAAAACCCCCCAAATATAAATCCCGATTTTAAAATAGCCCACCAACCTGTGCTCTGGGAGAAAGCATCACCGAAGGTTTATGGTACGACGTTGCACACTTTTTATCTCCCGCTTTTTTTGCGTGGGGTGAACCGCCACTGCCAGTGGCTGAGCTCGACGTCAGATACACCGGGGCCAAATACATGGGTGCCAATTTGGGACTTTTCAAATTCTCGTCCCCAATTTTCAGACCCTTCACATCCCCGAAGTTCGGACTTGAGACGTGCCGGGGATCGTGCTCCACAGTCCGCCGCATGGCCTCCGACTGCGTAGCGCTACCGCCACTCCCTACTACGCTCATGGGACCACCACGGATGTCGATACTCTTAGCGCCATCTCTGCCAGAGTCCTTTCCAACGCCAGCTATATCTGAATGTGCCACCCGTGACTGCAGAGGAGATGGGGGTCTCGCTGAAACCGCCTTATTCGCCGCCGTACTACCCTGTGCATGTGCATGTGCATGCGCGTGTGCATGAGCGTGAGTGTGTCTGTGTGTAGTCTTCCCAGCATGCCCCTGAGTAGCCCCGCCAGTCTCCGTCTCTGTCTCATCCCTCGCCCCGTCCACATACCTCTCCGTAGATGGAGCCGGCGGTGTGTTAAGTGTCTGAAATATGCCATGCGTTGGCAAGAGCTTTGAGGACGGGCCACCCAGCTTGACTGTAACCACCTTACTACTTCCCGAGTCATTGCCAATATCTGGCGACATAGACCCCACTCTCCCGGTTTCCGGGTCCGGGAGGCTAGGTTCGTTGGCATCCCCGGGGATTGGTATGTTTGTGCTGGACGGGGTTCTGGGGCTGGCCAGGTCTCTTTGCGTGGCTGGGGGTATGTGGTGTATACTGCTGCTGTCTTCGAGCGACTTGCTCAGGGTGCGAGACTCCTCGCCCCTGCCAAGGCCACCCACACTCCCAATTTCCTCGGCCGATTTCCTGGATATTTGTCCACCCCCAGACAACGGACCACCCGCCGGAACCACACCCACACCGCCATTATGGCTGTGCTGTGCCTTCTGCGCGGAGCTCCCCTGTACAGACGTGTCCATGTCCTTTCGCTTCGACCGGGCCGACATTATATAGTACGGATCACCCACCACCACACCCATGCAACCCCTGGAGATAACCTTGGGCGGTGCTACAACCCGCCGTTTGTAGTGCTTGCTAGGCAGTGAGATATCGGGTATCGTTCCGCCGAGTACCGGCGACATGGACGGCGACGGCCCAGGAGAGATCAGAGCATGCGCATTGAAGCACTTAACAGAACTCACGTGGGGATGCACACCCTTGGGCGTATGGATGTGGGTAGGCGTGTGGGTAGGCGTGTGGGTAGGGGAATGATTAGGGGTGCGGGTGGGTTTATGGGTCGGTGGAGTGGGTGGGCTCTGGTGCGCCTCACCCCCACTCGGTGCGACGGACTTGCCCGCGAACGTCACGGCATCGGGGATGCGCATGCTCTCCAGTTGGGTGAGATCTTCCAGAGACGGGGCTGGTGTAGCTGTGGTTTCTTCTTTGAAGTTGTATGGATCACCCAGAGAGCTAGTCAGAGAGCCAGTCAGAGACTCGTCGTCCCATAATGCGTCCCGCAATTCAACCCGCGATGAATCGGTGCTGCCGCCGCTCAGAATGGACTCCCCACTGGGGCTCGGTGTTCCAAAAATAGATCCTCCGTAGTCCAGGGCTGACCCCGTACTTAATGATGGACTGGGAGTTTATATTACGCGCATTATTTGTAATGAGTGTTGCAACTTTGAAATAGTGTACGGAAAATACGAGATGTCACTGTAGTATCTACTCGCACCCACGAAAGGCAGTACTTATTTGTACCGTGATCTGTTTATAGAACTGTCCATGTGCAGTAACGAGAGAGTGCACACTTCCGCATGAAGAGATATACGTGTACGTGGAAACCAGTGACATATATTCGAAAAGACTCACACGATCAATGCCATGAGACTGACAGGCAGCTGCATAGACACAGATGCTTTGAATATTATTAGACAAGCAGAGATGTACAAACGTGGATATCAACTCTGAAGAACGCAACACGCACACACGCACACGCCTCTCACACAATCACACACACATACATACTGCGGTGCGCAAGCTATCAGATACTATATAT